AGCAGTGAGAAGCATTTGGTGACACTCCTGGGCAGTAATTGGCAGAGGCAGGAAGAGATTGTGATGGAACAAGATAAGAGAACAGGCAGACACGTTATTTAGTTAGGTGACATCACTGGCAATGAGGAAAACTAGCAATAAAAATGCTGTGAATCTTTTCCTACCCTACAGAATGATGAAACAATGTTTTCTGCTGTTACTTTGCTTACAGAAATGTGCAGTGTCAAAAGCAAATAACAAAGAATCCACTTCCCAGCATTGTTATTTAGAAAAGAATATTTAACTTATTCACTGGTCTAACATAAAACAAATGTTGTATATTCAAGAACAAGAATGAGGGATTTCCCATGACCTACCTTCTGGTTTAAATAAATCTTTTGTTCTTACAGAAAACTAATTTTCCTTCTTCTGTCACTTATTTCTTTCCTCTTTTTGTTTCTGAGGTGATATTTTACAATTATGTCTTCCTTCCCTCAACAATGACAGTTTCTCCAAGCATATAAAGATCATTTAATAAACTTGGTAACAACCTACTATGAGGATTGACAATGAAGGTACAGGTTCTAATTCAAGAATATACTAAAAGGTAAGACTCCAACTGGCCATCACAATGGACTGTATCATTCCACATGGTCACTGGAAAACATTTAAGGATTAGGAATTGTCTTCAAATCAAAGTATTTAGGAGAACTAAGCATCTGTTCATTACATAAAACTACTCCAAATACTTACAAAGTGGCTTTAGGAAACAGTTCATGCCAGTTTTTAGAGTTCATCTCCAAACAGACAATGGAATAAAAATGCAATGATTACCATTCTATATGGACAGAGGAATACACTGCAAGCATACTAATACCCACTCAGAAAAGATCAGGAGTCCCCAGATGGCTCACATGTGAGGAAGTTAGTACCCTGAAACATTCCAAGAGACTATTTGACACAAGCTCCACAGGAATGGCCCATCTGCCACACAGTCTCAAGAAACGGCTGTTCTTCCAACCTAGACAAGGAATTAAGACACCAGTTCTGGGATTATCTGTCAGAATGTGCATTATATGGCCTCTCCTGAGCCCTCTAAGCTAGCCTGTTTCCTTCAGGTACTGTGGAGGGTGCCTTTGCATCAGCATTATTGAAGTAAGATTCAGCCATCAGTCCCTTTGGCTTCTGGGAAGAGGTACCATTTCTTTTGTTTAGAAATCCATCTTGCTCTGATAAACCTCCGACTTGTCTATTGTGAAGTCAAAATGCCTGTGTGAGGTTGATCTGCCATACTGTCCACCTAGCCAGTAAGGATGCTGTAACCCATGGCATTCCCCCATTTTGGCAATTTGAAGCTTGGGTGCTATGAGTAGGATCTAGATATGAGGCTGCTCCTGCACTTTGGGAAAAACAACCAGTGATCTTCTAGACATTTTGGCTCGCGACTCTCATCAGCTCTAGAAAGCATGTCTAGTGGCAGAGGATAATACAAGTTTTAGGCCAAAAATATGTGATGGATCACAAGTTGTCAGAGAATGCTCTTTAAAAAGTAGCAAGACAGGATCTAGTGAAAGATGCTTCTCTGCTAAACAACACTTTCCAGAATTGCAGAATATGAGGCTACTCCAGACCACATGTGACATAGGAAGCCCCCTTTGTTGCAGCCTCTAATACAATAGGAGTGGGATAATATTACTAAGGAGCACTTTCGTTGGTCTGCCATGCCACCTACTCATTCATTTTGGTGGAGGACCAGAGTTCTTTCCCTAGCTCCCAATTTGTTTTATTGTATGTCTGCACTAAGTTGCTTATCACAGCTCTCCCTTTCTGTATCATACACAACATGGGTAGGTGCCGTGTTCAGTTAGAAAGAGTAGTGGCTGAAAGACACAACATCCATTACATGCAGTCTCTTTTGACACTCAAGCAGAAAAGAGAACACTGGAAGATTGAAGCAGTTTTGCTGCCTATTGTGCCTATATTCACAGATAGCTATGGCCTCTCGTGTACTTTTTCTTAAAATACTGCTATCTGTTCTGGTTGATCATGAGGAGAAGGGCAGGCCACAAAAACTAAGAAGAAGATAGACATAATAACCAGCTAGTATTTCCCAAGGTCACATTTAATTAGTATCTAACTTCCATTGTACAGGCTTCCACAAAATAGATTTACTGCTTTCCGTGAAAGCCCCGAAAGCATCAGAAACGCTCATTTCTAGAAGGAGACAGATCAGCAGAGCGCCTTTTGGAGTGCTCTGGCACTGTGCCTCTTTGCAGAAGTGTTTCCCACCATTTTGGGTTGCCCCAGAAGTGCCAAATCAGCAATGGGCTAGCTGTGGGGTCCACTTCCTGAACAGAATTGATGGAACATAAGAGCATTGGCAGAGACCTAAGAACCCTGTTGGATTCCAACCATGTAAATGGGTAGGATCTATGTTCGAGTGCCATGTGGCACAAGCTGATACTGTGATGTAAATCTGTGAAAAAGTGAGATAACCAGTAGTTAAGCTGATTAACATATGGCTTTCAACAAAGTCCTACAACAAGGTGAAGAAGCTGCGTTCCCTGGACGAAGTAATTAATAAGTAATACACATAATTTAGTAATAAAAAGATAAGAGTCTCTTTGCCAAGGTACCAGACAGATTTCTACAGAGGAAAACAACCCATCTCCCTTATTTGTATATATTATTTCAATATATTCCTTTAAATGGTCTAATTAGTGTGTTAATTTAAGCAGCAATGTTAACAATCTCTCTCATCATCATCACATACTATGATTATATCCCTGGAGATATACATATCAGGTGACAGGCCAATTTTCTTTTCAGAACAGTGGCAGAATTTAAATGGAATTTTATAATTTGGCACAGTATAGGCTGCCAATTATATACTTAATACAGACATATGGTGCCATATGCTAGTCTCCTTTATGCCTGTTTTAATGTTACTGTTGACAATAGATATTTTCCTAATTGTCACCAGAGTAATTCATACTGCAATCCTGTACATGCTTGGGAATAACTTCCCAAGAATTTAGTGGGGCTTACTTCTGAGTGAACAGGTAGAGCATGGATCCTCAAACTGTGGCCTGTGGGCCACATCCGGCCCACCATGCCAATTTATCCTGTCCGCCTCAGAGGTTTTGGTCTCCCTGCGCTCACGCCCACTGCCACTGCCGCTTGCCTCACCCCATGCACACCCACAGGCACCCCCCCCCACCAGCCCATGCCCGCCGCCACTGCCTTTCAACTGGCCCCCAGTTGAAAAAGTTTGAGGACCCCTGAGGTAGAGGATTGTATTGTTAGTTATGAAATCCAGTGATCAGTTTGTAGAAGCAATTTATCCAATTCCTAACTTCTGGGACTTTAGATGTCCCTCTCTCATAACAAATGTGAGAGAACCTGTGGTCTTGCTTGATAATTTGAAAAATGGTTTTGGGCACCACCACAAAATGGCTGCCATTGGAAGACTGGTCACAAAAGACAAGTAGCTTGCCCAACTGATATTTATTTGTTTATTTCATTGCTATCCTGCCATTTTTCCTCTCTCAAGAAACCCAGGGTGGCTCATTAAATCCTTCTCCTCCTCTTCTCCATTTTATACTCACTACAGCTCTGAGGCTGAGAGTCAGTGATGGGCCCAAAGGCACCCAGTGTGCTTCCACTGTGAGTCACCCGGAGGTCCAGGCCAACACTCTAACCACTATGCACATGTGCACAGGGCAGACCTGGGCTCTGAACCACACACAGTGTGCCACTCCTTTTGAACAAATCCTATTTCACAGAAGGCAAACCCTTCTCCGCTGCCAGGCAACTCATACCCTCATCTCCTTGTCTTTTTCAATCTGTGTTACTACCCATTAATACACACTGTCTGCCTCTTTGTTTCCACATCTCTCTTTCTCTTTTTCTCTGTCACACAGACATGGGTGGGCCGGGGGAAGATAGCCCCAGAGCATCATTCTGGGGCTATCTTCTGTCCTCATTTCACAGTGGATGCCAAGGAACTTATCCTGGGGCATACTGGTGCCCACAGGCTGCCTGCTGCTGATGCTGTAAGCGATTGCTCCTTAAAGTAAAATATGACTTCATAATCCATGAGACTGGAAAGTCAAGCATAGAGATGGTGTTTGACCCATCATTTCTTAGTATATAGAAACCGTTCCTGACCAGTCGTATCTTAGCTCCAGCAATTCAGAGAGCTTGTTTGGTCATTTACTCTTTTCTCCAAGAATTGCCATCTTTCATTAGCATGTGGCAAATTCATATCTCATGGGTGTCCCTTTCACAAACATAAATTCAGCTACATCACAAACAACAATGCTTCGTGGTCGTCTGCAGGATGCCTGAAACCCTAGAATTTTTTGTGGGGGGATACTTTCGTTATGGTTGCCCTATGAAGGAAAAATACTTATTTATCCAGGTTTATATAACACACACACATCCAATGATTCACTGTGGTGATAAGTAAAATATAAGAGAAGGTTCTGAAAAGCTTCACTTCAAAAATTTAGATTATTATATATATATATATATATATATATATATATATAGAGAGAGAGAGAGAGAGAGAGAGAGAGAGAGAGAGAGAGAGAGTCTTTTTTTCCTTCCAAGGGATTATGTAAATTGGCTTACATAATTCTCCTTCCCCTTTCAATCTTACCCTCACAACAGCAACCCCATGAGGTAGGTTGGGCTAAGAATCCATGATCAGTTCAGTCACCCCATGAGCAACATGGTTGAGCTCCTAAGTCCCAGTCCCACTCCCTCAATCACTACGCTCACTAGTTCAAGATTATTCACCAGTTCTTCTTGTTCTGATCCTCCTTTTAACAACAGTTCTAATATTTTAATTGGAATGAAAATGTTGAGCCCAGAGAACCTATAGCTAATCAGACAACATATAAATCAATCAATCAATCAAACAAACAAACAAATACATTTGCACATTAGGACCTATTTAATTTAACATTCAACTGGCAGAGATGTTGCCAGTGGGCTCTCTTTCCCCTCTCTCTTACCATGGCATCGAACTCCATCACCACTGTATCCAAAGGGGCAGGGTCCACACCTGAATTCCTTGTCATTTGCTGGCTCACAGCGCACTCCAGTGAAACACGGCCTATCTGCACAGGTGACCTGCTTGACAAGCAGTGCCATATTAATGGGCTTGGAACGTGTCAAACGGTCAACAGTTGAGGCATAGGGCTTTCTCCTGGAAATCTGGGATTGGCCAGAGCTCTCCATGGGCCAGCTGCTGCTTTGCTGGGCTATACCAGAAAAGGAAGCCTTCAGATGGAATGTGGAGGCCGACGGAATGGTTAAGACAGATGCCCTTGGGTGCTCAGCTTTGAAACGATGGGCAGATCTTGCCCAAGCTGTGGACATCCCAAGAGACAACTTTTCAGAAGATGGCCTGTCAAGTGAGGCATAAGTCTGCCATGCAGCAGGCAGCCCTGCAGTGGACAACTTTGAATTTGTTTCTTGCTGAGTGGAGATGTTCTCTGCAATTTGTGACTGGAGCTCATAGTTTGAAAAGATTTGGGTTCCCCCTTGGCGAACTGGTTCACTCATTTGGTGCAGATGGTGTCTTTGGCTGATATTTTTTGCTTCACTCAATGAAAAGGATCTGTCTGAGAGTTGGAAGTCCAGAGGCAGTTTCTTCACAGGTGTTGAATGAGGCAGAGGCTCCCCCATTTCCTTGTCTGGCAGCTGCATATCAACAGTTATGGGATATCTGAAGGTAAGGAACCTTGCTTCTGGTTTGAGGTTGTGGACTAGTGAGTGTGCAGAATCAGTCTTCTGTGATTTCTTTATTCCACTTTGGGTGGAAAAAGTCTTGTCTTCTCCAATGTCCTTTAGAGTTCTATCAGTCAAACTTTGGGTAGATATAGATTCTAAAGGGAAAGAAAGAGGGGTTAGTAGCAGTAGCTTCCATGTTTCCTATGCATAAATAGAGAAATAATTGATCAGGATTGTGTGTGTGGGTGTTGTGGGTAGGTACCATCAAATTAGTATCCAATGTGATATTTCTGTGTTCCCCAGAAGTCCACCCCTTCTGATAGTCCTACCATCTTTCCTTAACATCTGCTGATTGCCCAGCTTTAAGCACAGTAATTTCCCCCTTTCTGCAAGATTGAAATATATCTCAAGTACTAAGAGCTTTAAACTAAACTACACTGGTGTTAGGTTGGAGTTTTGGCCCCATCTCTTTTGCCTATGGCCTGGACTGTTCCTGGAATGTGGCCACCAAGTGCTTCTTCCAAATGGAACTTGGCCTGCAGGCTGATAAAGGCTCTGTCTGTACATGTATATGCACACACACACATATATCCATATGTACTTGTGCATTTAGCATGAACTGTATGGTAGGCTGCCATGCAGTATACTGTGTGGAATATCATTTTTACTCATTTCTGGTATATTAGAAATCTAGCCAAAAGATAACTGGAATAACAGGCAAGTTTGGCCTTGGAGTACAAAATGAAGCAGGGCACAGGCTGGTAGAATTTTGTCAAGAGAATACGATGGTCATAGCAAACACTCTTTTCTGACAACTCAAGAGACGACTCTACACATCGACATCACCCTACGGTCAACACAGAAATCAGACTGACTATGTGCTCTGCAGCCAAAGATGGAGAAACTCTATACAGTCAGTAAAAACTAGACCAGGAGCTGACTATGACTCAGATCATGAGCTTCTGGTTGCAAAATATAGGCTTAAATTGAAGAAAGTAGGGAAAAGCACTAGGCCACTCAAGTATGACCTAAACCATATCCCTGATGAATATACAGTAGAGGTGACAAATAGATTTAAGGAATTAGATCTGATAGACAGAGTGCCTGAAGAACTATGGACAGAAGTTCACAACATTGTACAAGAGGTAGCAACTAAAACCATCCCAAAGAAAAAGAAATGCAAGAAAGCAAAATGGCTGTCTGAGGAAGCTTTACAAATAGCTGAGGAAAGAAGGGAAGCAAAAGGCAAGGGAGAAAGAGAAAGATACACCTAATTGAATGCAGAATTCCAGAGAATAGCTAGAAGAGATAAGTACCTTCTTAAATGAACAGTGCAAAGAAATAGAAGAAAACAATAGAATAGGAAGGACCAGAGATCTCGTCAAGAAAACTGGAGATATGAAAGGAACATTTCATGCAAAGATGTGTATGATAAAGGACCAAAATGGCAGGGATCTAACAGAGGCAGAAGAGATTAAGAAGAGGTGGCAAGATTACACAGAATAACTATAAAAGAAAGAGCTTAATGTCCCTGATAACCACGATGGGGTGGTCACTGACCTCGAGCCAGACATCTTGGAATGTGAAGTCAAATGGGCCTGAGGAAGCCTGAGCAACAACAAAGCTAGTGCAGGTGACAGAATTCCAGCTGAGCTATTCAAAATCTTAAAAGATGATGCAGTAAAAGTGCTACATTCAATCTGCCAGCAAATTTGGAAAACTCAACAGTGGCCACAGGATTGGAAAAGGTCAGTTTACATTCCGATCCCAAAGAAGGGCAATGCCAAAGAATGTTCAAACTGCCACACCATTGCACTCATTTCACATGCTAGCAAAGTTATGCTCAAAATCCTACAAGCTAGGCTCCAGCAGTGTGTGGACCAAGAACTACCAGAAGTACAGGCAGGATTTCAAAGAGGGAGAGGAAGTAGAGAGCAAATTGCCAACATACACTGGATCATGGAGAAAGCTAGGGAGTTCCAGAAAAACATCTACTTCTGCTTCATTGACTATGCTAAAGCCTTTGATTGTGTGGATCACAACAAATTGTGCTAAGTTCTTAAAGAGATGGGAGTACCTGACGATCTTATTTGTCTCTTGAGAAACCTATATGTGGGTCAAGAAGCAACAGTGAGAACTGGACATGGAACCACTGATTGGTTCAAAATTGAGAAAGGAGTTCAGCAAGGCTGTATACTGTCACCCTGCCTATTTAACTTATATGCAGAGCACATCATGAGAAAGGCGGGGCTAGATGAATCACCAGTTGGAATTAAGATTGCTGGGAGAAGTATCAACAACCTCAGATATGCAGATGATACCACTCTCATGGCAGAAAGTGAAGAGGAACTAAAGAGCCTCTTGATGCAGATGAAGGAGGAGAGTGCAAAAGTTGGCTTGAAACTCAACATTAAGAAAACTAACATCATGGCATCCGGTCCTCTCACTTCTGGCAAATAGATGGGGAAGAAATGGAGGTAGTGAAAGATTTTATTTTCCTAGGCTCCAAGATCACCACAGATGGGGACTGCAGCCAAGAAATTAAAAGATGCTTGCTCCTGGGGAGGAAAGCTGTGGCAAATCTAGACAGCATACTAAAAAGCAGAGACATCACCTTGCCAACAAAAGTGCGTATAGTCAAGGCTATGGTTTTCCCAGTTGCAATGTATGGCTGTGAAAGCTGGACTATAAGGAAGGCTGAGCGCAAAAGGATTGAGGCCTTTGCATTGTGGTGCTGGAGGAGACTCCTGCGAGTCCCTTGGACTGCAAGGCGATCAAACCGGTCAGTCCTAGAGGAGATCAACCCTGACTGCTCTTTAGAAGGCCAGCTAGTGAAAATGAAACTCAAATACTTTGGCCACCTAAAGAGAAGGAAGGGCTCCCTGGAGAAGAGCCTAATGCTGGGAACAATAGAGGGCAAAAGAAGAAGGGGACAGCAGAGACTGAGGTGGCTAGATGGAGTCACTGAAGCAGCTGGAGTGAGCTTAAGTGGACTCTGGGGATGGTGGAGGACAGGAAGGCCTGGAGGAATGTTGTCCATGGGGTCACAATGGGTCGGACACAACTTCACAACTAACAAAAACAAAGAGATAGGTCAGATACATATTTATGATACCTAAAAATGTAGACTTATTCTTTGCATTTCTCTAAGTGTAATCTTCCTCCTCCATTGGATAGGCCTGCTTCCCCATCTCTCTGTTGTCAGAATAAGACTATAGATTTTTTATAACTAGAAGAACCTTAAAAGGCAGGTTTATCCTCTGATGAGCTCACTCGTTCACTCGCTTGCTCGCTCTCTCTCTCACACACACACTCGCTCTCTTCTCCAACTGAACACAAAAAGTCAATATTAGAATGAACCATTAGTGGATTCTACTCCAGTCAATGATAGCAAAGTTCCTGTTGATGTCACAATAGAAGTTTATCCTCCATTGGGATTACTGGAAGTGGACTGCACCACCTGAATTTCCTGGATTTTAAACAGAAATTCTGTATTTAATGTCTATTTATTTATTATTTATTAATATTGATTTGGAAAAGAAATAACCTGCACCTTCACCCCAGAAACAATTTACAGTAATTTTCATAAAACAATATATAAATAATACCATTATTTGTTATTTGTTTTTCGGCGCCAGGCGAAGACCTTTTTATTTAAGTGTCATTTTAATTGTTAATATTACTTGCTTATTTTATCTGACCAGGGCGACTTATTTTATATTGTTATCTTTTGTATTTTAATTTATGTTGTGAGCTGCCCCGAGGCTTCGGTGAATGGGGCGGCATAGAAATGTTTTAATAAATAAATAAATAAATAAATAAAGAATTAAACTTATCTGAAATCTAAATTTCAAAAATGTGATGTGTATAACTGCTTTTTAGCTAGCGAAAGATGAACACTTAAACCTACAAATATAAATATAAAATACACTTATTAATATAAATATAAATATGTATATGTGGTTCTATGACTATATGGGCAGGGTGAGTCACAAGATAACCACATTAATACATCAAACCATGGAGTTTTGTAGAACTACCTATAATGGTCTTCACCAATGATGGACCATATCACTTTTCTAAAGAGATTCTGAAATAATGAATGAAATATAGTAGCAACTATGTTTTAGGAATATCTGTTGAAAGCAGTGCATGTGAGAATAAAACACATTTTTTCTTCCATTTAATTTTGAGTTGTATTTTAGATGGCAAAATAGCCACATTATTTCTCATTTCAAGTACCACATAATAGACAAAGAAAGTGAGTTTCACCAACAGAAATTAGAATCACAATAGTGTTTTCTAGAGGCACTTTTTTGCCTAACAAAAAAGTGTTGAAATTGCAAGGTTGCCTGAGGTCAACTGCTTTTTCATATCTTCATATCTTCATTTTCTAATTTCATACAGTTCATCAATACCTTAAAAATCTATCTGCCATTATCAATGCAGAAATAGGGCAGAGTAGACCCATTTCTCCCATCTTCCAAGTAACAACATATTGGACTGAATGAAAAATAACAGCAACAGTCCAAAGTGTTCAAGGTCAAAATCTACTTTACATTTCCCTCTATGGTACCAGTGTTTTGTGTAAACAGTACCAGAATAGATTGATTAATTTTTATATGAACAGATAAAAGAGTCCTGATACACTTTGGCGTTATTCCTATCTTAAACTGTCATATATCTATGGAAATGAGTAGAAAATGAGACAGCTGGCTTGACATTCTCAGCCTCCTAATACAAGAATTTGGTCTAGTGGTATAGCAGGCACTGTGGAGAATACAAAAATCCTTGCAGATATAAAATAATGGGAAGAAAAGGCCAGGGCTAGATTAATAATGAAGCTCTAGAAATGCTTTTTTATAGCAGAGGCGATGAACTTCCTTGTTCTTTCAGAGTGATTGACTCACAGATGTGTAGATCAGGGGATACACAATCAACAGGGAAAGGGGCAGAGCCATGATCTTTTTTTTCCTTCTGTGGGTCAGGGATCCAAAGCGCCCCTTTAAGGTTCTTCCGGCTCTTATGCCATGACTCAGGCCTGGCCCAAGACATTTTGGTGCCTGAGATCAAGGACAAGACAGAAGTTGTCATCTGATTTTTATGGAAACCTGCTCTGTGGGTTTCTGACTGGAAATGAGAATGTTTGAGAGGC